AAATGATCTTAACAAAAAGTTAAGTGTCCATATCCGTTCCCCTTAAAAATATCTGTTCATAAATTTTTGAAATACATTATAATATACTCGTTTTGTTCCTATGATAATATTTAGGTTAAAATACTACATTGGTCCCTCAACTTTTATATTTATATTGAAATTATCTTTAAACTTCAAAAAGTATAAAAAATATCCTTAAATTTTAATTTTTGATTCCAAAATAATCCTAAGTTTAAGACATTAGAACCAACTTAATTTTTAAAATTTGAAAACAAGTACTAATTTAATCCTTGAACTTAATTATAAGTATTAATTTGGTTTTTCAATTTTGATTACATGTCAAATTGATGAAAGTTGTTATTATTAAATAAATTCATATTTATATTGTTAATTTTTTTTATTTTATGTTTTAGTTTTTGGTAATTACAGAATTTATAAAATTAAAAATTAAAAATTAAAAATTTAAAATCATAACTATACTAATAATCTATTTAATTTAAGGGGAGGAGAGTGAAAATTTCCCTATTTGGTTAAAAAAAATAGAGGAAAAGGGAGTCATTTACTTTAATTTCTTTGTAATTTTTTCAACTATTTGGATAAGGAGATGGAGGGTGGTAGGAGAAGGGAGGGAAATAGAAGGATGCAATATGGGGAAAAGAAGAAAATAAAAGGATGTGATCCTTTGGCTTCCTTTAAATTAAATATACCGTAAAAGCCACTTAAATTTAGAACTTATTATTATTATTATTATTTTTTGTATTTACAGTTAGAGTGCTTCTGTGTCAAATTTCATGTATCTTGAAATTAATCACTTTTTAAGCGATCTTAAGAGTGTAGCCTTTACATTGATTAATATATTTAAAAAAAATTAATTTTTTTAGGTGTTAGTTCAAAAACTTGAACCTTAAATTTATTTTATAAGATAATATTTATTTATTAATAAATTAATCCTTAGAGTTACTTGTTGGTTATTAGGTTGTTTTAGCACTTTCTCCCTCTCTTTTCTCTTTAAAGAAATGATTTTTATATAATCATTTTATCTTACTTTTTATACAATCTGACGTGTCATTAAAATGATTAATTTTTTTAATTTATATAAGATCCATAATATTAAATGCATCAACTCATTTAATAACATGTGAAAATTATATAAAAAAAATAAAATAAAAAAGTTATCCCTATAAAATCACTCTTCTCTTTGTTAGGCTAAATTGTGTTTGCTTGGTCACCAAGAATATAATTCCGTGCGCCATCAAGATTCCATGCGTTTTAGAGTAGAATTGTATATTAAAGATATCTTCTTTTTATTTTTTTTTTTGGTAAGATTCAGGGATAGTCCACATGGTAGGTTAGAGATTCTGAGTCTTTTTTAG